TTAGCACCATAGTGCGGGCTGTACCCCGCTACACTTCTAAGAGGTCTCAGTCTGTCAGTACATTGGCGGGTTAGCTGTTGGATGGCAGGTAGGGTACAAGGGACAGAAACACCAAGATATTTAAACGAAGAAACAGTCAATAGTGTTGTTACCTATCTTGAACTTGGCGGGGCCGCGTTTGCGGTTACCAGCTTGTTTGTTGAACACCTTAGTTTTCTCAGTGGAGATAATAAGACCGAGGTTCTCACAGGCTGCGTATACATGGTTCAGGGTGGTTTGCATTTCACGATGAGTTTTAGTGTGTATAAGAATATCATCAGCATAGCTGATTGAGATATTGCTGGGGTTGTCTGGTATTAAATTTAATAATGCATTCATAAGAACATTGAACAAAGTGGGGCTAAGTACTCCACCTTGAGGGCTACCAAGTTGCATATCTTTAACTTCACTTTTGTAACCCTGAAACAGTGCAGCAGCCCTTCTGTTGGTTAGGTAACCACTTATCCAGTGTAACAGCCTTCCTCCTATATCCATTTTGGCTAGTTCATACAATATCAGTTGCCTATTGGCAATATCAAATGCAGCTTTTAGGTCAAGAAATGTGGTGTATCTGTGCCTTTCATCACCATGCACAGTTAGGAATGTGGTGATGCAATTATGTACACCTTTACCATGGGTGATTGGGTGAAGCCATTTATGTTAGGAGACATGTGTTCTCTGATTCTATATAAGAGTCTGCCAAGAACCATCCTCTCAAAGGTTTTACACAGGCAGCTGGTTAGTGATATGGGACGAAAAGCATCAGGCTGTCCTGGTTTCGGTATTGGTACAACAATACTACTGGTCCATGATGTGGGTAGTTGGCCCTCGGCATGACTCATATTGTACAATACCAACAATGGATTGCCTGGCACGCGCCTTAGTAGTCTAACGATGTTGTAGGTGACTCCGTCCTCTCCAGGGGAAGTAGACCTACCCCTGGCGAGGGCGGCGTCAAGCTCCCACTCAGTATATGGAACATCACACTCATCGTGCTGTTTGCCTAGCATAAAGTTAGTAAGATTACTTCTCTCTACAGACTTCGCATCAAGGAGTCCCCGAGTCTATGCTGGTAACATGTCATAGCTAGACACATGAGCCCACTTTGTTATTAGCTCATTCGACTTTTGCAGAGGGTTTGAATGGGAGACGTGTCTACTGTTTTTACCTCTGATTGTGTATATCATCAGCCGAAGTTAACTTCACCTTCCTTTGACCCCATCTCTATAGATGTGAAATATTACGTCACTAAAATACAATAACCTCCGCGCGGGACAGATCTGAAGCTTACTGAAAACTGAATTATACATTTGTGCCTCCGATTCAATTTTTTTTAATGTTTCAGCTTGTTGAGAGAGCATTGTTCGTGTGTGTGTGTATAAAAATTGAGACACAAGGAGCAACTTTACTCGAACACATGACGACCATTGACAGACGACTGAACAAGCATTAAACACATCGTATGTACGACCACGGAGTTGTAAGTACTTGTACTAAGTCAGTCAGTAAGGTATTATTACGCAACAGGTGTACAGTACAGTAAACATAACCATCCAGTGGAGGCGTGTCATGGGGAACGCCAGGCGGTATTGATCGCTTTTGCTTGGAACTGTATTTTCGCTTTAAGTCAATAAATTCACCTCCAGTTCTCTCTCTGATATTAAAAAAAATATGGAGGTCTAATACCTCGTATTTTTCCCCAAACTGTGAATACTTATAGATTAGGTTACGTTTGAGAAAGTTACGTTAGAGTTAGGTGAGCTTAAGCCAAGTTAGGTTAGGTTAGCACCTAACAGGGAAACATGCGGAATTCATGCTTGCCTTCTCAACCCATACAGTTAAATATCTGAAAGGCCATAGATTGTGTCGGCAACTCAGTGATAGTGTCCAGAATCACTGTGAGGTGCATTGACCCTCTGAGTCAACCACAGTGCTGACCCCATCTAGCCTCCCTCCTCCTCCTCTTCCTCTTTCTTCATGTATTAGGGTGTTCTATTATTACCACAAAGAGCACGGGATCATCCACCTTCACCCTACCACACTCTAACCTGCCTCATCCCACCACACTCCACCCAGCCTCACCCTACCACACTCCAACCTGCCTCATCCTACCACACTCCACCCAGCTTCACCCTACCACACTCCACCCTGCTTTACCCTACCACACTCCAACCTGCCTCATCCTACCACACTCCAACCTGCCTCATCCTACCACCTCCCATCCCAGCCTCACCCTACACACTCCATCCAGCCTCACCCCTACCACATTCAACCTGCCTCACCCTACCACACTCCACCCTGCTTTACCCTACCACCTCCAACCTGCCTCACCTACCACACTCCACCCTGCTTTACCCTACCACACCCACCCAGCCTCACCCACCACACCCACCCACCACCTCCACCCAGCCTCACCCTACCACCTCCACCCTCTCCACCCTACCCACCTCACCCAGCCTCACCCTACCACACTCCAACCTGCCTCACCCTACCACACTCCAACCTGCTCCCTACCACCTCCACCCTGCCTCACCCCACTCCAACCTGCCTCATCCTACCACCACTCAAACCTGCCTCATCCTACCACCCCACCCAGCCTCACCCTACCCCACACCCACCCTGCTTTTCCCTACCACCTCCAACCTGCCTCACCTACCTCCACCCTGTTTACCCTACCACACTCCAACCTCACCCTACCTCCACCCAGCCTGACCCTACCACACCCACCCAGCCTGACCCTACCACACTCCACCCAGCCTCACCCTACTCACCACTCCACTCTGCCTCACCCCTACCACACTCCACTCTGCCTCACCCTACCACTCCACCCTGCCTACCCTACCACACTCCAACCTGCCTCACCCCTACCACCTCCAACCTGCCCCACCCTACACTCCACCTGCCTACCCTACCACTCTTCAACCTGCCTCACCCGACCACACTCTAACCTGCCTCACCCTACCACACCTCCAACCCACCTGCTACCCTACCACCTCCACCCTGCTCTTACCCTACCACTCCAACCTGCCTCAACCGACCACACTCTAACCTGCCTTACCCTACCACACTCCAACCTGCCTCACCCGACCACACACAACCTGCCTCACCCTACCACACTCCAACCTGCCTCATCCTACCACACTCCAACCTGCCCACCTGCCACACCTACCACCACTCCATGCCTCACCTACCACCCACCCCACCTGCCTCACCCTACCACACCTGCCTCACCCTGCCTCACCCTACCACACACCACCCTGCCTGTACCCTACCACACCCACCCTGCCTCACACACCACACTCCACCCAGCCTCACCCTACCACCTCACCCAGCCTGCCACCTCACCCCTCACCCTACCACACTCAAACCTGCCTCACCCTGCCTCACCTACCACTCCACCCACCTCACCCCCCACCTCCACCCAGCCTCCCCCTACCACTCCACCCCCACCTCAACCTGCCTCACCTTACCACACCCTGCCTCACCCTACCCTCCAACCTGCCTCACCACTACCCTACCACACTCAACCTGCCTCACCCTACCACCTCCACCCAGCTTCACCTACCACACTCCAGCCTGCCTCACCCCACCACCTCCACCTACCACACTCCAACCTGCCTCACCCTACACACTCCACCCACCTCACCCTACCACACTCCAACCTGCCTCACCCTACCACTGCCTCCAACCTGCCTCACCCCTCCACCTCACCCAGCCTCACCGTATCACCTCCCCAGCCTCACCCTACCACACTCCAACCTGCCTCACCTATCACACCCAGCCTCACCCTACCACACTCCAACCTGCCTCACCCTACCACACTCCAACCTGCCTCCCCTACCACCCACCCTGCCTCACCCTACCACACTCCACCCAGCCTCACCCCACCACACCCACCTGCTTTACCCTACCACACTCCAGCCTCCTCACCACACCCACCCAGCCTGACCCCTACCACACTCCACCCAGCCTCACCCTACCACATTCCAATCTGTCTCACCCCTACCACACCTGCCACCTCCAACCTGCCTCACCCGACCACACTCTAACCTGCCCACCCCACCACACTCCAACCTGCCTCACCCTACCACACTCCAACCTGCCTCACCCACCAACAATCCACCCTGCCTCCCCCTACCACCTCCAACCTGCCACCTACCACACTCCAACCTGCCTCACCCTACCACTCCAACCTGCCTTACCCTACCACACTCAGCCTGCCTCACCCTACCACACTCCAACCTGCCTCACCCCACCACACTCCACCCTGCCTTACCCTACCACACTCCAACCTGCCAAACCCTACCACACCCCAACCTGCCTCACCCTACTGCCTCCAATCCTGTTCCCCTACCACCCCCCACCCTGCCTCACCCCACCCCCACCCCACCCTACCACACCCCCTCACCCTACTCCACCCCCTCACCCCTACCCCTCCCACCTGCTCACCCTACCACCCTGCCTCACCCCTGCCCTCACCCTACCACACTCCACCCTGCCTCACCCTACCACACTCCACCCTGCCTCACCCTACCACACTCCACCCTGCCTCACCCTACCACACTCCACCCTGCCTCACCCTACCACGCCTTGCACCACGCTGTGTGTGTGTGTGTAGCATCGCCTAGATTATCCTTCCGTCACCCATCTCTCAGGGCACACGTCCAACTGTACCCAAAGATAAAACCCTTTATAGTTTAAAGTAACCTTCCTCACGTTGTTTCACCGGCCTGTTCACAGGTTTGGTTGGGTTACATTTGGTTTGGTTGGGTTAGAGTTGGTTTGATTGGGTTTGGTTTGGTTAGCATTGGGTTGAGTTTAGTTTTGTTTGGTTAGCTTTGGTTTGGTTTGTAATGCATAACACCTGAGAATAACAAGAGCGAAGAACATCGGTAACAACTGATAATAACGCAACAAGAGTGATCATCAATAACAAGTTTTCGGTGGTTGGCCGGACTTACCTTGGAGGCGCTGTTGCTGCCGCCGGTGTCGTAGAGGTTGGCGCTCATGTCACAGGTGGAGGAGGCGAGGGAGGAGGACCGCGAGCCCTGTGAGCCGCGGGTCCAGTTGGTATCGGGGACCTCCAGCAGGTTGAGGGCTGGGTCGTGGGGGTTAGTGAAAGACTCCATGTCCAGGTTGACCAGGAGACGATCAGGGGACATCCCACGGACAGGGGAACCATTTTCTGGGGATTCCACAGGTGACATCCCCGGGAAGGGTGATGACTCTTCCTCCACTAGAGGGTGGTGGGGCACGTTCGACCGCGTGTGCGACATGGCCACGACACGACGCTGCTGCTACTGCGACAGGTGGTTCACTAAGATACTCAAGAATGGCGTTCAGTAAATCTTCCCACAGAAACGTTTGCTGGATCACTCGCCAAGACAGGGTGAGCGAGGCACCACGAGCTGACAATCTCAGTGAAGGGAGTGACCTCAGTGTTTCGAGGAACAATACTAGAAGCGGCGGAGGGCGGGTGTAGGTGCAAGAGAGTATGCTCGACCACTGTAGAGCCTCACGCCCTCTGGTGCCCGGCACCCTGCCAACACCCTGACGATGCCCACGCCTACTGCCCCTCCTAACCCCCACCTCTCTTCCCTCTCCTATACGTACAAAATCGTAGATACACAATTTCTTGTCATACAGCGAACAGTAGATACGACATGTGATGTAATTCATTCAACTTGTAACCTGTGGTGTAGTAACCTGACCAAACAATCTGCCATGGCGGTTATTGTAGTCAGTGACTCCTCTTGTTGCTATTTTCGTTCGTGATATGCAGGTGAGGTGGCCGGAGTCCTCTGCAATCCTGCATAGCTTTAATTCTAACCCAGTTACACAGCTTCGTGGTGAGGGAAGTGCCTGAGGGTGTCATGAGGATAGATGGGTTGAAGCTTAGCTTAGGTCATATGAGATTAGGTATAGTTGGATGTATACCCCTTACAATGTATTTTTGTAAACAAAGATGGGATTCAGCGTAAAGCCTGAGGGTCGCCCTGTGTTGGTTAGGTTAGTTATACGTGTGTCATGGTGGGTGTGGTTAATACTTGAGGACTTTTCACGGCTCTGTGACCTTTAGTTTACTGCTCACTCGGAACAACAACAACCACCCAAACAGTATTTAACCATCCTCGGAGTATGTTTAACCAAGTTAGGTCAGGTTTTATTTGGTTTGGAGATGTTAGGTTAAACCTGGTAAACTAAGCTTAACTTAGGCTAGGTTAAGCATGGTGAAGATATGTTTTGCTAAGTTAGGGTAGATCAGTGATTCTTAACCTTTTTCCCTGTTCGCGCCCCTTCCAAACCGCCAAGCCGTTCTCGCACTCTTCCCACCAAATTGATGAAAGAACTTATTGTCATGGGAATTAATAACAGATCCATCTTGGTTTGTTATCTATATTGGCAACTCAAAAATAAATAGTGAAAATGCAATGAATTACCAAAGTGCAAAATGTACACAATTGACAACTAAATATTACATTGTAAAAATTCAGATAACTATAAATGTACAAAAATTACTTTACAATTGCAAGTACTTTGCATGGTGTGTTGCGGATGAAGCTGATTGATTATGCTTGCGCACCTAACTCAGTGACTTTGTTGCTGTTGTTTGTCCTCCATGATGACAGTAAATTTAAAACTGAATCTCTCTCTCTCTCTCTCTCTCTCTCTCTCTCTCTCTCTCACACAATTCATAGTAATTTTATAAAAGGCAAGACAATTTGGCAACAAAAGGGTAATGTAATGATGAGTGAGAATTGTAAAGAATTATTTAGGACTGAACTATTCCAGTAACTTGCGTCATATCTAGCTGGCATCTATACTCAAACAATACACATTATCTGTACATTAATACAAATTACTGAGCAATTTAAATACAATTTAGTACATTTAAAATTAGTAACATAATGACAAATTCATAACATAAAACAGCAATTTTATGCTCAGTTTTTTTTTCCACTCCCCTAAGATTAGCCACGTTTGAGCACAGCATAAAACTCTGACCCCCCTAAGAAACGGGTCTCGCACATCCGGTTAATAACCCCTGGGTTAGGTTAAGCATGGTGAAGATATGTTTTGCTAAGTTAGGCTAGGTTAAGCATGGTGAAGTTTGGTGGCTAACTTTTATAGTCTGATTCTGTCACACATTCCTACCAGTCATAACCAAAGGCTGACGAGCGCCTCTGGTTGCTACATATCTCAGTGTGGTGGTTTTGGCTCCCAGGTTGACAAAGATCTTGTCTCTGCTATGACTGCCAGAACTCCTACACACTTTTCAACCCATACGAAGTTTTGAGGTTAAACTTGGCTAACGTTACGGCCATACAGTCTAAACTCTAAGTCTTTTTTTTGTCCTTTTTCAGTAATATTATAATCACTGTTTGAAGGACGACCTTCACCACAAGTTTAGATACTTTTACCACGATCACACAACCTCAGCCTCATACACACTCACCCTCGAACAAACACTTAACCTCCCACACACACACACACACACACACACACACACACACACTCAGCCTCGACCACACAGTCAGCCTCATAAACACTGAGCCTCCAGCACAATCAGCATCCAGCACAATCAGCATCCAGCACACCCAGCCTCCAGCACACTCAGCCTCGACCACACACTCAGCCTTGACCACACACTCAGCCTCCAGCACACTCAGCCTCCAGCACACTCAGCCTCGACCACACACTCAGCCTTGACCACACACTCAGCCTCCAGCACACTCAGCCTCCAGCACACCAGCCTGTACACACTCAGCCTCCAGCACTCAGCCTCCAGCACCTCCAGCACAGCACCTCCAGCCTCTCCAGCACACAGCCTCCTGCACACTCAACCTCCAGCACACTCAGCCTGCACACTCAGCCTCGACCACACTCAGCTCCCACACACTCAGCACACATCAGCACACTCAGCTTGAGCAGCACTCAGCCTCCAGCACTCACCTCAACACTCAGCCTCGGCCACACACTCAGCCTCACATTAGCCTTCCACACAGCACCACACTCAGCCTCGACCACACCTCCAGCCTCCAGCACACTCAGCCTCGACCACACACTCAGCCTCCAGCACACTCAGCCTGACCACACACTCAGCCTAGACCACACACTCAGCTCAGCCTCCAGCACACTCAGCCTCCAGCACACACTTCACCAGCCACCACACACTCAGCCTCCACACACTCAACCTCCACACACTCAGCACACACACCAGCAGCTCCAGCCTCCACACACTCCAGCCTCGACCACACACAGCCTCCAGCACACTCAGCCTCCAGCACACTCCAGCCTCTGACCACACTCAGCCTCACCACACACTCCAGCCTCCAGCTCACTCCAGCCTCCAGCACACTCAGCCTCGACCACCACACACTCAGCCTAGACCACACACTCAGCCTCCACCACACTCAGCCTCCAGCACACCCAGCCTCCCACACACAGCTCTGACCACACTCAGCCTCCAGCACACCTCAGCCTCGACCACACACTCCAGCCTCCAGCACACCAGCCCTCCACACACTCAGCCTCGACCACACACTCAGCCTTCACACACTCAGCTCCACACTCCCACACACTCAGCCTCCAGCACACTCAGCCTCGACCACACACTCAGCCTCACACACAGCCTCAGCACACTCCAGCCTCCAGCACACCTCCAGCACACTCAACCTCGACCACACACTCAGCCTCGACCACATACTCAACCTCGACCACACACTCAGCCTCCAGCACACTCCAGCCTCCAGCACACTCAACCACACACCTCAGACCACACACTCCAGCCTCACCACACACTCAGCCTCGACCACACACTCAGCCTCGACCACACACCAGCCACTCCAGCACACTCAGCAGCACACTCAGCCTCGACCACACACTCCAGCCTCGACCACACACTCCAGCCCTCGACCACACAGCCTCCAGCACACTCAGCAGCCTCCAGCACACCCAGCCTCCAGCACACTCAGCCTCGACCACACACTCAGCTCCAGCTCCTCAGCCTCGACCACACACTCAGCTCGCTCACACACACTCAGCCTCCAGACATTCAGCCCACACACAGCCTCCACACACAGCCCGACACACACTCAGCCTAGACCACACCCTCCAGCACACTCAGCCTCCAGCACCACACACAGCCTCCAGCACACTCAGCCTCCACAGCCACAGCAGCACACTCAGCCTGGCCACACACTCAGCCTCCAGCACACTCCAGCCTCCAGCACACCAGCCTGGCCACACACTCAGCCTCCAGCACACCAGCCTCCAGGCCTGGCCACACACTCAGCCCACACACTCAGCACACACTGGCCACACACTCAGCCTCCAGCACACCACACCTGACCAGCCAGACCACACACTGCAGCCTCCAGCCACACACAGCCCCACCACACCCAGCCTGACCACACACCTCCAGCCTCCAGCACACTCAGCCTCGACCACACACTCACCAGACCACACACTAGCCCACACACTCAACCTCGACCACACACTCAGCCTACCACACTCAGACCACACACTCAGCCTGACCACACACTCAGCCTGCCACACACACTCAGCCTCACCACACTCAGCCCACCACACACTCAGCCTGACTCACCTCAGCCTAGACCACACACTCAGCCAGACCACACACTCAGCCTCGACCACACTCAGCCTCGACCACACACTCAGCCTCCCACACTCCAGCCTCGACCACACACTCAACCTCGACCACACACTCAGCCTCGACCACACACTCAGCCTAGACCACACACTCAGCCTAGACCACACACTCAGCCTCGACCACACTCCAGCCTCGACCACACACTCAGCCTAGACCACACACTCAGCTCGACCACACACTCAGCATTCAGCACACTCAGCTCCAGCACACTCAGCCTCGACCACACCCCCTCATACACACTCAGCCTAGACCACACACTCAGCCTCGACCACACACTCAGCCTCGACCACACACTCAGCCTCCAGCACACTCCAGCCTCCAGCACACTCAGCCTCCAGCACATTCAGCCTGACCACACACTCAGCCTGACCACACCTCCAGCCTAGACCACACACTCAGCCTATACCACACACTCAGCCTCATCACCTCAGACCACACACTCAGACCACACACTCAGCCAGACCACACACTCAGCCTGACCACCACCTGACCACTCAGCCTCCAGCACACTCAGCGTTCAGCACACCAGCCTGACCACACACTCACCCTCATACACACTCAGCCTAGACCACACACTCAGCCTCGACCACACACTCAGCCTCGACCACACACTGAGCCTCCAGCACACTCAGCCTCCAGCACACTCAACCTGAACCACACACTCAGCCTCCAGCACATTCAGCCTCGACCACACACTCACCCTCATACACACTCAGCCTCGACCACACACTCAGCCTCCAGCACACTCAGCCTCCAGCACACTCAGCCTCGACCACACACTCAGC